AAGGAGGGTTACTTCAAAAGTACCAGGCAACCATTTATCGGGAGTGAAGGGAGGAAACGCGTTACGTGAAACACTTGACGAGTTTACTGAACTCGATTCACTGGCCTCTGATAATTTCTTATCAGAATTAGTTGTCATCATGTTGGAACCTGTCATTATATCATTTTCAGTATCATTAGCAGGTATGTTATTCGATGTCACAATATTCGTAGTTTTTACTATTTGATGTGCGATTTCTAATCCTGTCGTGGAAAGAGTAAAACGATTAGGGCATCCTTCTTTATAGATTAGACCTTTTTCTTGTAATCTTTTCATGCAACTCCATGCGGTATAATGATTCTTTGAACTTTGTGGCATGTCAAAAGATGAGTCGCAGAACTGTTGCGCAATCTTGATGAGTTCAGGTTTGGTTATACCATTGTCGTTTGGATTCTTGGTGTGAGAGAGATAAAGACCAAGAAGAATCGCGTAGCTGCCTGATCTATATTTGGGAACATAAGTAGATTTTCTTTTCTGTTTTTTAAGGGGAGGCTCATTGACTCCTGAAGCTTCTGCACTTTGATCGATTACTATTTCCTCCTTGGATTTTGAGTTATCATTTGGTATGACCTCGGACACGCCATTATCATGGTCAACATCTATCAGCTTCTTGGATTTTGAGTTAACATTCGGCGAAACAGCTATTTAGGGATCCAGATAAAAAATTTAAACACTCTTTGTCATAGTGATATAATGGTAAACGCGCTTTTAAATATTACCAGGTTTCTTCGGCATAGCTAATCCATTCTGTTTACAATATTCCTCGAGCTTCCTCTCCAATTTTGCACAAATTCCAGGTCCAATTCCTTTTAAAATTGAGGCTTCAGAAGGATGTGTAAAACCCAACGGATATTTAGAAATTGAATCACAAGCCTGAAGCGAGGACAGACAAATAATGTCAATACTTGAGACATTTCAATGGTGAAAGAGAATCTCTACAAGCCTTTTTATATGTATGGTATGTATTGTTATTTTTGGCTTTTGCCTCTTCCATCATTTCCTCGAGCCATTGTTTGTATAGAGGGTTACCGCATGTTGGTACTGGAACTAGAGCTACTTGTTTTCTTTGTGGCATTTTTTTTTGAAATTTCGCGTTTTACATGTAGATCTTCAGATTTTGATATTAATAATATGAGCCACATGATTTATTTATTTGCAGTTTAATACATGTTAATTGAGCATGACAAGTTTCAAAATATTTTATCATACAATTAAGTCAGCATAAGACGACCAAATATCCTCGTATTTCATATGAAAATAGACATAATTTATTATTCGAATTATTATTATTACACGAGATATGAAAAGTGAGCACCAATCAATAAATGAAATAAATAGATTCAGAAAACGATTATTTTGTAGATTATACAATCTAATATCATGTGAAATAGAATGTATATATAAAAGAAAAAATCCAATTTTGTTGAGTAATCCCCGAACGAAAGAGTAGTCTGAATTGAGTTGCATCACAATGTGATACCTTGCGTATTGCACTTCATAGCGCTACCACCGGTGAACCCGTTTCAACCATTTCCTAACCCAGGTGCAATCCATCCT